TTTTCCCCCCCCCCCCCCCTCAGAAAGAAAGAAAGGAAAGAAAAGAAAACTCCCACCAAACCACTTTTGAAATGAGAGAAGAAATCAGGCAGGTAGTTGGATAACCATTCAGTCATCTGGCCCTTCAGGCCAATAACTGAACTCTTATTCTTTCTGCTTCTATTAAAAACAGCTACGTTGATCTAAATATGTAATCAAAACACTTTGATTTAAAGTTTATTCAGCTGGATAAGTAAAAGGAAAAATTGATTTGCACCACATTGTACTCTCTGGCATATGGGAAGAGGAACAAGAAACCTAAAAGGAGAAATATGAGTTGTGTAATATATTACTGTAGTCCACACTGTTCCATGTGGCGGCCTTTGACACCATTGACCAAGGTATCCTCCTGGAGCAGCTCCAGGGGTTGGAAGTGGGGGGCACTGTGTTGTCCTGGTTCACTTCCTTCCTCTCTGGCCCTTCCCAGTCAGTGTTGATAGGGAGCAAGAGGTCCGGCCTGCGGCCCCTGTTTTGCAGGGTTCTGCAGGGTTTGGTACTTTCTCTGCTTCTGTTTAACGTCTACATGAAGCCGCTGGGTGAGATCATCTGTCGCCATGGGGTGAGATATCCTCAGTATGCTGATGGTACTCAGCTGTATATCTCATCCCATGGTGAGTTAAGTGACGCCATGCCCTCCCTCTTGCAGTGCCTGGAGGCTATTAAGACCTAGATGGGGAGCAATGGGTTGAAACTGAACCCTGGCAAGATGGAATGGCTCTGGGTTTGGGGTTCTTTGGTTCATGGAGAATTGGCATCTTTGGTCTTGGATGGAGCTGCACTGCCCCAGATGGACCCAGTGTGTAATCTGCGGGTTCTCCTGGACTTACGACTCCTGCTCAAGGAGCAGGTGACAGTCATGGCCAGGAGGGCTTTTGCACAACTGTGGGTTGTGTGCCATTACGCCTTTTCCTGGACCAACAGGCCCTGCTCACAATTACCCACACCCTAATCACCTCCCATCTTGACTACTGTAATGCACTCTACATGGGGCTGCCCTTGAAAAGTATCCGGAAGCTTCAGTTGGTTCAGAATGCAGCAGCCTCCATGGTTTTATGCAAGTCTAGATTTGCACATGTGTCACCTGTCTTGCAGGAGCTGCATTGGCTGCCAATTTGCTTCTGGGTCCAATTCAAGATGCTCGTTATCACTTTTAAAGCCCTACATGGCTTGGGTCCAGGTTATTTGAAGGACTGCCTTTTCCCAATTTCATCTGCCCCACCCACCAGATCAAGGAGGCAGGGTATGTTATGGGTCCCCCTCATTAAGAAGGTCTATCTAGTGGAACCAAGAAGAAGGGCCTTCTCCATGATGGCTCCCTCCCTGTGGAACATCATTCCCAGAGAGATAAGGCTGGCCCCACCATGATACTTGTGGAAGAACAGGCTGTAGAGAAAAAAATGCAGGCACCTGTGCTGCCTCCCTCCCCTCCTATTTGAGCCTTCTCCCCTGCGTCAGCATGGCAGAGGTGCCAATAAGGTGTAATCTTGGAACAGGTGGGAGAGGAGAACAGAGGAGACACGTGTAGTTTTGCTGCAGCACCAGCAGCAGCAATAACATCCCCAGAGAGATAAGACTGACCCCCACCATGATACTCTTCTGCAAGGCCCTGAAGACATGGTTTTGCCAGTGGGCC